AGGACTCTGTGCAAGCCACTCGAGTTCTTCCACACCAAACTTTTGGCTTTGTACACAGGGGACAATCATGAAGAAGCAAAAACGTAACCAGACTTACCACAAAGTTGGAAGAGTTCAATTGTCTACAATGTCTTTGTATGATGTGCTATTAATAGGAACTTCACTGGAGGCACTTGAGCTCAATAATTTGGAAGGGGGGGTCCACAAATTTTGACCAAATAGGTAATTGCAGTGGTAAGGTGTCCACAAACGTATGGTCATATGTGGTACTATACCTAACTGCATGATGACGGCAGTCAAATCTGGCTGCTTTAGACCTTTGCTGGAGGCCTCAACCTTATTTCAAGACCTCCAAGAATGAAGAATAATGGGTTACTTTTTTTGATTTTAAGGTAGGACCCGGACCAACTGTGCAAGATGTCAGAGGAACCTGTCCCTGCAGATCTCAGTGAAAGTCCTCTATTGCTTCGTGGTCATTCTCATCATTGCTGTGGTTGTGCTGGCATCCCTAGGTAAGGTACAGTCAAGTCACCACCTGAAACTGAGTAGATAAAGTGTCTGTCTTTATGTATGCATTTCCCATGTTATAGGTCCGGGGTGTCAGCGTTCACCAGAGAAAACCATCCTCTTCACTCTGCACCAGAGCAGCTTACACTCTAATGTCCCCCCACAGTCACACACTATTATTATACATTTATATAGCTCTGCCATATACCACAGTGCAGTACAGAGAATACTGAGCCAGTCACATCAGTCTCTGTTAAGGTACAGTCAAGTCACCACCTGAAACTGAGTAGATAAAGTGTCTGTCTTTATGTATGCATTTCCCATGTTATAGGTCCGGGGTGTCAGCGTTCACCAGAGAAAACCATCCTCTTCACTCTGCACCAGAGCAGCTTACACTCTAATGTCCCCCCACAGTCACACACTATTATTATACATTTATATAGCTCTGCCATATACCACAGTGCAGTACAGAGAATACTGAGCCAGTCACATCAGTCTCTGTACAGAGGAGCTTACACTCTAATGTCCCCCCACAGTCAAACACTCAGATTGAAGATAAATGCTGATTCCTCAGTCATATTGCTATAAAATAAAACATCTGTCCTGACATAAAGGCCGGATGTTGCTTTGCACATTACATCATCATCACATAGGATTGCTATTTTTAAGTAATGTCCCATTTCAGCTGAATATAAATACATAGGAGGCATGCGGGCTCCTCCGCTCCCCCGTCACTCCTATGAATTGATCAGTGCAAGGAGCAAATCCAGCAACCCACAGCAGCCAATCAGAATTCAATTTATTAAAGCCAAACCAACACGTAGCACATTGATTGGTTGTTAGATGTCCAGCTCTTTACACCTTGCTCTGTGCTTTATTATGCAGGGGATGAGACCACAGAGATTTGCGGGGGGATGAAATCACAGAGCCCTGCGGGGGATGAGACCACAGAGCTCTGCGGGGGATGAAATCACAGAGCCCTGCAGAGGATGAAACCACAGAGCTCTGTGGGGAGAAGAAACCACAGAGATCTGCGGGGGGATGAAACCACAGAGCTCTGCAAGGGATGAAACTACAGAGATTTGCGGGGGGATGCAACCACAGAGCTCTGCGAAGGATGAAACTACAGAGCTCTGCGGGGGATGAAACCACAGAGCTCTGCAAGGGATGAAATCACAGAGTCCTGCGGTGGATGAAACCACAGAGCTCTGCGGGGGATGAAACCACGGAGATCTGCAAGGGATGAAACCACAGAGCTCTGCGGGGGATGAAACCACGGAGATCTGCGAGGGATGAAACCACAGAGCCCTGCGGGGATGAAACCACAGAGCTCTGCGGGGGAGGAAACCACAGAGCTCTGCGGGGGATGAAACCACAGAGCCCTGCGGGGGAGGAAACCACAGAGCTCTGTGGGGGAGGAAACCACAGAGCTCTGTGGGGGAGGAAACCACAGAGCTCTGCGGGGGATGAAACCACAGAGCCCTGCGGGGGATGAAACCACAGAGATCTGCGGAGGATGAAACCGCAGAGCCCTGCGGAGGATGAAACCACAGAGCTCTGCGGGGGATGAAACCACAGAGCTCTGCGGAGGATGAAACCACAGAGCTCTGCTGCGGGGGATGAAACCATAGAGATCTGCGGGGGATGAAACCACAGAGATCTGCGGAGGATGAAACCGCAGAGCCCTGCGGAGGATGAAACCACAGAGCTCTGCTGCGGGGGATGAAACCATAGAGATCTGCGGGGGATGGAACCATAGAGATCTGCGGGGGATGAAACCACAGAGATCTGCGGAGGATGAAACCGCAGAGCCCTGCGGAGGATGAAACCACAGAGCTCTGCTGCGGGGGATGAAACCATAGAGATCTGCGGGGGATGGAACCATAGAGATCTGCGGGGGATGAAACCACAGAGATCTGCGGAGGATGAAACCGCAGAGCCCTGCGGAGGATGAAACCACAGAGCTCTGCTGCGGGGGATGAAACCATAGAGATCTGCGGGGGATGGAACCATAGAGATCTGCGGGGGATGAAACCACAGAGATCTGCGGAGGATGAAACCGCAGAGCCCTGCGGAGGATGAAACCACAGAGCTCTGCTGCGGGGGATGAAACCATAGAGATCTGCGGGGGATGGAACCATAGAGATCTGCGGGGGATGAAACCACAGAGATCTGCGGAGGATGAAACCGCAGAGCCCTGCGGAGGATGAAACCACAGAGCTCTGCTGCGGGGGATGAAACCATAGAGATCTGCGGGGGATGGAACCATAGAGATCTGCGGGGGATGAAACCACAGAGATCTGCGGAGGATGAAACCGCAGAGCCCTGCGGAGGATGAAACCACAGAGCTCTGCTGCGGGGGATGAAACCATAGAGATCTGCGGGGGATGGAACCATAGAGATCTGCGGGGGATGAAACCACAGAGATCTGCGGAGGATGAAACCGCAGAGCCCTGCGGAGGATGAAACCACAGAGCTCTGCTGCGGGGGATGAAACCATAGAGATCTGCGGGGGATGGAACCATAGAGATCTGCGGGGGATGAAACCACAGAGCTCTGCGGGGATGAAACCACAGAGCGGAAGGTGGACTCCATTGCAATTGTAAAACTTAGCTTGGCTTCCCGCCACCATGCCAAGGGTAATTGTCAGGACAGCAGAGGGATGGACGCACGTCCCGCAGCACACAAATCAGAGCAATGCAGCATTGGGGGGTGGGGGGAGGGGCGTTCTTTAAGATATGTTGAAATCTGTTATTGGATTTCGCCGGAAGCGACTTTACGAGAAGTTTCTTCATCTGTGACGGAAGACACAACGTCTCATCCGAGAAGTAAACATTACGAATAGACGACCTTCCAGTCATCCGCGTTCTCCTCCCAGATATTCCTAACAACAAAATGTAATGAAAGTGATCTGGCCCGTGAGCGCGGATATAAATCATTAGGACGCCGCGGCGGTCACATGTGTGCCGGTGCCTGGAGGAATGCGGGAGGAGGGGCCGTCCACTGGAGAGCAATACAGGAAGTCCGACTCGTCATAACTTTATTCGCACAACTTCCTTTTTTATCTTTATAACGATCAGATTTCTTAAAGCCAAAAACTGAACTTCAATGTAGCTAAAAACATTCCAAGTCCATCCACACGCAGTCCTCAATCCCATCCACACGCAGTCCTCAATCTCTGACAGTTCATTTATAAATGGCAGCCACAGCCTGAGTAGAAAAGCCTGTCCACTGCCAGCATACTGCTCTGTGAGGAAGCAGCGGCCTCTCTGCACCAGTCCAACACACCCCAAGCTGAGCCAGCACTAGAGCTAGCCAATCAGTTGGTAGCAAGAGCTTCGCTGGTTGGAGAGCTTCGTGTTTAATAGACATGGGCATTCGGTTTGAGTATATCTTGGTATACACCAACATGGCGGCGCCCAAACATACGGGTCCTGCCACAACACAGTGGCCGACGTGGCCGACGCTCGTTCTGGATTTTCAGTGTGACATCAGACGCTGAGCGCACGGTGGTCGCATTAGCCGCCGGCGCATTCTGTGCAGACATGCCGCCATCTTTGAGTATATCTTGGTATACATCAAGATGGCAATGCCCGAACATACGGGAGCTGCCACCTTGGTGCATACCAAAATGCACTCAAAGGTGGCGGCGCGCAAACGCAGAACACGCCGACGGCCGCCGCTCGTTCTGCATTTTTAATGTGACGTCACATGCTGAACGTGCGGTTGCCATACCGGCCGCTAATTGCATTTTCAGTGTGCGGTTTCATTTGTTTCGTCAGAAAGCGTTTTTTCCCCCCCCGGTGCGCATGTGTAATGTTTATTAGGGTGTGTGTTGAACCTCTGCAGAGAGGTCTCTCTCTCATTTTCAAATCTCACCTGAGCAAACTGTAGAGAGATGCTGATTGGTTGCCATGGGCACCCAGTGGTCAGCAGAGGTGGCGAGGATGTGTTCTTTCGTGTGATGCTTGAGGCAGGGTGCTGTCATGTTTCCAGGAGCCTCCCACCACACCGGATCTTATTACGGAGAATAGGCCAGCAGGAGGACCCGGGGATGAGGTCACTGGGTCTCAATAGAGGTATTTCTATTACAATTTTAATTGCATGTTAAAGGAGAACTATGAGGGGAGTGCTTTTAACTACAATGAGACTGTCACAGGTCGGCTCAGTAGATCGGGAGGTGAGGGAACACATACCGGCGTTCGAGTGGGCGGGTACAGCTGGCTCTGCCTCTAGATAGGCAGAGCCAGCTGTCACTCACGCAGCTGGGCGGATCTCGACATCGTTGTCGGGATCCGCTCCGGCTGCGGCGTCTCAGTATACCGCGAGGTGTAGCTCCCTACATACTGAGCTTAGGGTGACGGGAGGACGCTAGTTTTTGCCCTCCCGTTACCCTAAGGAGAACTATGGGGAAAAGACTTAACCCCATAGTTCTCCTTTAATGAAGAGAAGGTATTCTATGTACATTACACTTCTGGCTGCTGAGAACATGACGGCTACTAAGGGGGTTATTCACAAAGCGCGAAGGCAGCCGAGTGGATAGCCGAGCTGTAGTGAAGTGACCCGAACACGCTCTGCTGAGCGGAAGTGCAGGAGGACTTCGACTTCAACATCTGGATCGGCTGAGCCGAAGCTCCGGCAGATCGCTCGCTGCCATTCGCCCCAATTCTCATAGGGGGCCGAACGGCAGTCAGTGAATAGCCGAATGCTGCCGAGCGTCATGCGGCTCTGCTCGGTACCTCCGTGGTACCGACCAGAATAACAAATCAATGAAAATAGTTTTCAAAAAAGTGGAAAAAAATATTTTTTTTAAATGTAAATACATATTAAATAAAAAAAAAATAAAGATTAAAAAACAAACCAAACAATTAGGCGGAGCTAGCAGTGACAGCTAGCTCCGCCCAACTGTTTCCTATTAGCCGGCACCTGCTAGAGTCTTCTAGCAGGTCTTCTAGCAGGTCCCGGCCAATGAATAACAACTGGGCGGAGCCGGCCACGACGTCACGGCCCAGTTGTTATTGTTTAATGACAGATCAGCGTCCCCGGGTCATTTGGGGACGCTGATCTGTCATTACAACTGGGCGGAGCCAGCCATGAGATCACGGCTGGCTCCACCCAGCTGTCATTTGCGGGGCGGCAAAGGCCGTCCTTCCCGCTTCTGCTGACACTTAGGTTCAGAGGAGCCGATATGCATATGCCTTCGGCACGGCCGCCTTCAGCTGCTGTATGGGCTATAGTGAATATAGTGAATAGCCCGTACAGCAGCCCACTGAACCGAAGGGCTCCGGACGGCCGAAGAGAGCCGAAGGATCAGCTGAAGCTACTGTTGGATCCTTCGGCTCCTCTGTGAATAACCCTTCAAGTGTGCCGTCCTTGATGATGTTGAGTATCAGGAGAGTGTGAATCAGTCAGCCAATAAAGTGTATGACTTAAACTCCCAACCTTCTGCAGATAGGAATGAGAACGTCTTATAACAACAACCTTTTCATACGATTCCCTCAAAGTGACTCTGGAATTTCCATGATTTCCCCGCAGTTTTTCGGAAAGTCAATTCCCTCTACGATGACTTCAGCTTGGCAAAGTCCAGTTACGAGAAGAAGATTGTCTCGGTGCAAGTTGACCTCCAGGAACTCGGTAAATATTTCCCTCCGAGCAGAGAGTTTGTGAGATCCTCCAGAGACAGGACCCGTGACTTCGGCCTGATTTGGGCGACAACTTTTGTATCTTTGGGTCAGGCTGATGTGAACCGTTCTTCCTTTAGTGAATACATACCTCCCAGCTCTCTGAGAGGAGATAGAGGGACACCTTCCTGCACAATGCATTTGGGCAATGGACACACCCCTGAGGACCATTAGGAATTTTAGGCCAAAAATGATTGGTTGATCCCAGAATTGTTTGTTTTTCACCATTACTTTTCCTTTGTATTGGATTTTCGGAGCAAACAAGATAATTAGGAGATAAGATGAAGGTTTTGGTGCAGAATAACACTTTTGGTAGTTCAATAGAATAGAACCTTCTCATAGATGTACATAAGACCAAATAGAGGGACAACTGTGGAGGAAAGAGGGACTAGAGGGATTTGGTTCCAGAAGAGGGACAGTTGGGTGGTATAGTGCATGACCAATCAGACACAACTCCTGGTTCCATCACCCTTGTTAAGTCCCCCCCCCCCATAGTGGGCGACCAATCAGACACAACTCCTGGTTCCATCACCCTTGTTAAGTCCCCCCCCCCATAGTGGGCGACCAATCAGACACAACTCCTGGTTCCATCACCCTTGTTAAGCCCCTCCCATAGTGGGCGATCAATCAGACACAACGCCTAGTTACATCACCCTTGCTCCTCCCCCTTCCTTGGCATAGGTATATTATGAAAACGCAGCCTCATGTCTGTATTGCACATTGTTTCTCCTTCAGGCTTCCTTTTCTTAAAGTGGAACATTCCGTGACCCGTAGCAATAGATTCCGGACCCAATATGAGGCTGCAGTGTCATTTGTTCAAATCAGTTGAACGTTGTATTATTGAAAGTCCTCCTTGAGCTCCAGTCAATAATTATGCCCGGGCTGAGATGACGCCATCAGTCTGCTGCAGGCTGGAGGAAGCATTTCCTCAGTCTCCCCTCCCCCGGTGATCAGTCTGCTGCAGGCAGGAAGAAGCATTTCCTCAGTCTCCCCTCCCCCTGTGACCACCCTGCAATGTACACAAAACACCCACCCAGCACGGTCATTGGCATGACTGCATTATCTTTGATCCGGCATCTCAGTCCGGGATGTAGAAGCTGATCCTGACCATTCATAGTCCACTGAGCAGGCTGGAGGTATAAAAGGGACACAGGAAGCTGTGGAGCAGCAGATTGTTAGTGCCGCCCCCTGATGTATACATTATGGCAAGGTTGAGCAAACGATGAGACTGGCCAAACAGAATTACAAATATTCCGGCAGCTAAAGCAGTTCACATGTCTCAGCCGCTGGCCCGGAGTCCGGCTTTAACAAGACACCGGGTAATGCGGTATCTTTGGTATTGTCACACCATGAAATCCGGGCGGTATGAGCTGTAGTTCCCCTTTAACAATGACTGGGATCTGGTCCCCTGCGACAGACGGACTTCCTCCCTTCCCTGGAAACATCGCACCGCACTGCCGCCGTAAACATGTTTATTGGGCTGAGTCTGTACTTGGCCCTCGCGGTGCAATCCTCCGGAGGGGGTGACCTAATAGCTGTCAGATATTGACCGTTAGTTATAATTGTGAAGAAAATGATTTCCTCTGCGCGCAGCTGCGATCCTTCCCCGCCGAGCAGAACGCACTGAACCCTGAACGACGAGCGAAACTCGGCCCGCTTTAACCCCTTCACGACCAGAGAGGACGAGGAAGCCTGGGTGCCCACGGCGATAGGAATTCCTGCCGCCCCCTCAGCTCCCTGCCGGCCGGGCTACGGTTGGCCTTGTGGGAAATCCTTCCCTGGGTGCGAGCCTTTCATAAGTAATCCTGCACAGGTATGATCACTTCGAGGGAGCCAGTCGGGAAAGCATCCGGACCTCCGATCTTATAACAGCGCCGTTGTTCTATCGAAAAGTTCCAACTTGTCGACCGCTCCAACTGGTGACGTCACATCCCGTGCCCGCCAGTAGGAGATATACAGCAGATGGCGCTGGTGCGCATGCCCGGGAAATCCTTGTCGAATTGTCTACCTATTGCCACAGCGCCTGAGCGTATATTACAGAAATCCCTGATGATAGTGCTAGGTCTTATTTTCGGGGAAACACGGTATCCACTTCTATAACCTACTGCAGTTATATTTGTCCCAGGTTATAGAAGCCGACAGCTGCGCAGGCGCAGTGGTTATTGCCTCATGGGATTCTATAACCTAGACAAAGGTTACATTATGTTACGCGGCCGCACAATGCTTTCTACAACCACAGTTGCCACTGCGCCTGCGCAGCTGTCGGCTTCTATAACCTAGGACAGATATAAGTTTGTCCTAGGTTACAGAATCCGATGAGCCGCTAGCCGCGCAGGCGCAATAGTTAGACAGTTCGACAAGGTTTTTCTGCTCATGCGCACTAGCTCCATCTGCTGTACATCTACTGGCGGTCACCGGATGTGACTTCACCAGCCGGAGAGGTCGACAAGTCGGAGCTTTTGATAGAACACCGTCTTTCCTCTGCGAGTTGCTGTTTGTGCTGTTTTTTGGTTGTATTTTCTCCCTGTCAGAGTAGAACTGGCAGCCGAGTGATGTAAGGTAACCCTCGGAGCAGTGGCGTAACAATCACCATAGCGACCCAGGCGACACAGTGGGGCCCGGCCAGATGCCGTGCGGGCCGCCTGGGTCGCTATGGGATCCTCTGCTGGCGGCTTTCACTGGCTACTGAAGACGAACACGCTAACTGTTCAGATCACTGACAGTAATCTGTGCAGCAGCAGCGCGTTCCTCTCCACAGAGTCAATAATGAGAGCCAGCCGCGGCAGTGGAGGAGGGGGCGGGGCCCGTGGTTGGCAGCAGGGGAGGAGGCGGGGCCTGGTGATGAAGAAGAAGGCGGGCCCTGCGACAGAGGAGGCGGGCCCATCAGCAACCGTGGAGGAAGAGGAGGCGGACAGGTAAGGAGTGTGACCAGCCCACCTGAGGGTGACCCTGCAGAGCCCACCGTAGAGAGTCTATGGTGGGCTCTGCAGGGTCACCCTCAGGTGGGATCTCAAGTGGGCTCGGCAAGGGGTATAACTAGAAATCACGGGGCCCAATACAAAATTTTGCTATGGGGCCCTGTGATTTCTAGTTACGCCCTTGCCTCGGAGGCTGACCCGTCGCCTACACCAGCTTTGGGCTGATAACCGATACTCTCTCTCTCTCTCTCTCTGTTTTCAATGCTGTAAATGAGCCTGAAAAGGTTAATTTCCCAGTGATAACATTCACAGATCCACGTTTAAAAAACAAAAACAAAACCCCTAAAATTTGCCTTTAAACATCATCTTGGAACATAAATGTGTCCAGACTGAGGCCTCGTTGTTCTGTCAGCACTGGGCTCTCCGACCAGGAATATCCCACATCCTGTTTGTACATGGCGTCATGTGGGAGCTATAAATGGACTCAGACAGCGCGGGACGACCACAAGAGGCCGGCGAGGGATAAACAGGGAACGGGCCGGCTGGAAATAATGACGTTAATGAGCTCATTAGAAGGTCCCGCGTTGTGCTTTGTAACAATATTCGGGAGTGAGATTCAATAAACATCGGTAATTAGGAAAATAAATAGTCTGAGGACTGCAGAGGACGCGGTTCAATCCGGACGACTGAAGGGGGACGTAAGAAGAACTCCCATCATGACTGGTCACATCGGAAGGGGTGAGATAACCCCAACGCCCATCTCTGGGGACAACCAAAGTAGTGGGGCTGCTCCTGCACTGCAAGGGTTAAATGCTGGTTTAGGTCTAGGGCAGTGGTGTAACAATCGCCATGGGGCCCGGCCAGATGCCGTGCGGGCCGCCTGGTTTCGCTATGGCATCCTCTGCTGGTGGCTTTCACTGGCGGCTGTGAGAAGAATGCGCTGCTGTTCAGATCACTGACCGTAATCTGTGCCGCAGCGCGTCCTTCTCACAGCCGCTGCGGAGTTAATGAGAGTTAGCAGCGGCGGTGGAGCAGGCTTTGCCCGGCAGTGGAGGAGGAGGCGGGGCCCTTGGTCGGCAGCAGTGGAGGAGGCGGGGCCCTGTGACGGAGAAGGAGGCGGGCCCGGCGACGGAGGAGGAGGCGGGGCCCATCAGCGATCGTGCAGGAGGAAGAGGCGGACAGGTAAGGAGTGTGACCAGCCCACCTGAGGGTGACCCTGCAGAGCCCACCATAGAGAGCCTATGGTGGGTTCTGCAGGGTCACTCTCAGGTGGGCTGTTTGGTATATCAGGTGGGCTCTGCAAGGGGCATAACTAGAAGTCACAGGGCCCCATACAAAATTTTGCTATGGGGCCCTGTGATTTCTAGTTACGCCCCTGGTCTAGGGGTACATGAGGAAAGCAGTTTGACTCACCTGATCCCCGCTCCCCCAGGGGTGAAAACTGAACTTGTCTCCTCCACACTCCCGCTTGTAGACAATCCCAACGGGGGCCCTGCATTGTATTTGATAGGCATGTAGGTTTTGTTTTCCTTCGAATTGAAATTTGGATTCATTTCTCTCCGTTCAGATACATCCGAGTTTCCCAATTCAAATTTTGGATACATTCGAATTTTAGAATTTGAACAAATCCCAAAAAAAGTTTCATGAATTTCGGCCGAATTTCCAAATATCCAATTCTAATGGCCAGTACTGATTATGAGGACCATTACGGACTAAGATGACCAGTACGTACTAAGAGGACCATTACGGACTAAGATGACCAGTACGGACTAAGATGACCAGTACGGACTAAGATGACCAGTACGGACTAAGATGACCAGTACGGACTAAGAGGACCAGTACGGACTAAGATGACCAGTACGGACTAAGATGACCAGTAGGGACTAAGTGGACCAGTACGGACTAAGAGGACCAGTACGGACTAAGATGACCAGTACTGACTAAGATGACCAGTATGGACTAAGAGGACCAGTACGGACTAAGAGGACCAGTACGGACTAAAATGACCAGTATGGACTAAGAGGACCAGTACTGACTAAGAGGACCAGTACGGACTAAGAGGACCAGTACGGACTAAGATGACCAGTACGGACTAAGAGGACCAGTACGGACTAAGATGACCAGTACGGACTAAGATGACCAGTACGGACTAAGAGGACCAGTAGGGACTAAGTGGACCAGTACGGACTAAGGGGACCAGTACGGACTAAGAGGACCAGTACGGACTAAGATGACCAGTACAGACTAAAAGGACCAGTACGGACTAAGAGGACCAGTACGGACTAAGAGGACCAGTACGGACTAAGAGGACCAGTACGGACTAAGAGGACCAGTACAGACTAAAATTACCAATATGGACTAAGAGGACCAGTTTGGAGTGGATTAAAATGACCAGTAAGCACTAAGGTGACCAGGGACCAGGAAGGGAGAGGAAGGAGCTTTGCCCAAAGATAATCTCTATAACGTCCAGTACCAACCTAACCTAGTCTGCAACCGCCCCTCCTCTGTGTATATGAACATGTACAGAGTCTCTGTAAGCAATGATTGTAATATGTACTCTGTAGGTGATCATTATATATATTCAACCCAACAGCAGCCAGAATTTAGTTAGACAACAGTTGGGAAGGGTCAGACCTTTGCGTTGTGGTTTTTGTAATTTTTGTCTTCTTTTTTAGGGCTAAAAAATAAAAAGAAAAGGATTTTTTTTTTGTTACAGGTTCGGAGCTCCAGGCTATTTTTTAGGCTTGCTAGTTTATCAATAACTACACAATGGTTGTTTACAGAGCCCAGTAGCTAAAACTCAATCTATATAGAGTTTCAATCAGAGAGAGGCAGACTGAAGGCAGAGATGTCTTGCTGTCTGTGTTTGTTTTGTGGAGATTTCCCCGACGCTTTCTGTGCCCGGTAAATAGACAGGAAGTGAAGAGAAATCTCCCAAATGGGAACACCAAAACCAACAAAGAGTTTCTAACCATTTTAGACCCTATGCAAATCCGATAGAAAGGTGTTCAGGGGAGTTGACATTTAAGAACACAGAATTGGGAAATTAACGACAAATTAACATGTGTGTCTAGCCAATAACTTTTTAATTTTTTTTTTTGGGATAGATGGGGAAGGAATGCGACAATTCGCTATATGTGAACGGGGCCTAAGGGTCACGGGAGGACATAAACCAGCCCAGCCCAAAGCTCAGTATATATACTGTGACGCCGCAGCCGGGACGGATCCCGACATGAAGATTTTATGTGTGTATGGTCGGCTTAAGAGCAAGCCTGGGATGGCAGTAGAGGTCCAACATGGGTTCTGATTTTTCCCCACTTTGTCCAGAACTAAAAATATGTACTGGGTAGACACACAAGTGGAACTAAACCCCCCAATCCTCCTATACTCTTAGGACAGCCCCATCTTGGCCTCTATTTGGATCTGCAGTTGCCATCATGCTGCACATTTGAGCCGCCATTTTTAGGTCTTCAAGGATTGGACATTCAGTTGAGAGCTGACATAAGCACGTAGCACAGTTATCACCAATCGAGGCACACGTTGAGTTCAGCGTACACCGCGCATGCTCTAGTAGGCAGAATGTAAATGAATACCCTCCAGAAAAGGGGTAGGCAAACTCCATCCCTCCAGCTCTGGTGGACCCACAAATCCCATGAGGCATTGCGAGATTCTCACAGCCACAGACATGACTCCCAGAGAGGGAGATGCCTCATGGGATTTGTAGTTTCACCACAGCTGGAGGGCCAGAGTTTGGCTACCCCTGCTCCAGAATATAACATTGGTGTGATTTACTAACATTTGGTCTTTGGGTTTTCTGTTGTTAAGTTACATAGGTGGGTTCAGTTCTGCTTTAAGGCCGGTTGTCCCTGAGCGCCCCATCCGAAAATGACCACGTGACATAACTTCCTACAGCAAATTTTCCAATGGCATCAAACGTCCATTGGGGCCGGAGTTTGGCTACCCCCTGCTCCAGAATATAACATTGGCGTGATTTACTGGGCTCTGGGCTTTCTTTTAGTAAGTTACATTGGTGGGTTCAGTTCCGCTTTAAGGCCGGTTGTCCCTGAGCGCCCCATCCTAACCATGTGACCATGTGACATAACTTCCTACAGCAAATTTTCCAATGGCATCAAACGTCCATTAACATTAATCATGGATGTGTTTATGACGAATAGAGAGTCCCTGTGCTCAGCCCTATGGCATGTTGACTGTTATTTGCATTTGTGCCATTAGAGATCATTTAATGACTTTATTTCTCTCCTCCCATTTCACCAACTCATTTCTCTTGGTCATCAGACATGAAATCCGTCGGGAACTGCTCGCACTGCCATGACGCCACCTTCCTGGGTCAGGAAATCAGGAAACTTCACGGGGAACTGGAAGAGATCCAGAAGATGCTTTTGGCCCAGGAGGCGCAGTTGGTCGAGTCATCCAAAAACCATCAGTCCCTCCTGTCAGCCAATGACAAGCTAGATAACCAGGTCGAGAGAAGCAACTTCTCCCTCCTCCAGGTCAATCAGACTTTAGGAACTTTCCTGTCCCAGGTTAAAGGGTGGCAGACCGCAGCGACGGACTTGGAGACCTCGGTGAAGAACTTGGTCCAGGAGCGCTATGACATTACCGCTGCCGTACAGCAGATCAATTTCACCTTGGGTCAGACGTCGGACTGGATACAAGTCATCCAAAGGAAAACCGACGAGGAGACGCTAACGTTGCAAAAAATTGTGTCTGACTGGCAGAATTACAGCAAAGTTTTCGGAGGGTTTAAATCAACTTCGGTCAAAACCATCGACTTGGTGAGAAGCATCCAGAGTAGCATCGCTGCCACCGCGCAGCGCATCACCCTTAACACGGAGGTCATGCACGATCTGGTCCTACAAGTGATGGGCCTTCAGCTGCAACTGGACAACATCACAGCTTTCGTTGATGACCATGAGGAAAACATGGCCGACCTCCAGTACCATTCAAAGTACACCCAAAATAGGACAGTTGAGCGCTTCGAGAGCCTGGAGGGCAGGATGTTCTCCCATGAAACGGAAATTGGCACCATATTCACCAATATCAATGCAACCGATAACCACGTGCACAGTATGTTGAAATATCTTGACGACGTGCGACTTTCTTGCACCCACGGCTTCCACTCGCACGCTGAGGAGTTGTACGTTCTCAACAAGTCGGTCAGCCTGGTGCAGGACACCGCAGATTTTCTCAGAGAGAGGTTCAGCGTGATGAATGTTCAGCTAGATTTTGATGTTCGGAATCTGTCCATGATCATGGAGGAAATGAAATTGGTGGATACCAGACACGGGGAGATTCTCCAGAAAGTCACCATGGTGCAAGGTAAGACTTAACATGTATGATACAGATACAGATTTCCCCAGTACATTCACACTTACCCGTGGTATATCCCTTTAAATATGTTTCACTGGAGCCATTTTTTAAAATGTATTTTATTGTTTATCCGATTAACCGATTAATCGAACTTAATAATCGGCTAACTAATCGATTTTGAAAATAATCGTTAGCTGCAGCTCTATTGCACATACAGAAAAATGATTGATTTGTCCGAAAGTCTTTGTGCTTCTAACTTCCTGTTCGTGCTGACAACACAGTGCTTTTGCTGGACCAAAATTCGGGGTTGCTGTCAGGGGCGTAACTAGAAATCACGGGGCCCCATAGCAAAATTTTGTATGGGGCCCCGTGATTTCTAGTTATACCCCTTGCAGAGCCCACTCGAGATCCCACCTGAGGGTGAACTTGCAGAGCCCATAATAGACTCTCTACGGTGGGCTCTGCAGGGTCACCCTCAGGTGGGCAGGTCGCACTCCTTACCTGTCCGCCTCCTCTTTGTCCACGGTCGCTGATGGGCCCCGCCTCCTCCTCCGTCGCCGGGCCCGACTCCTTCTTCGTCACCGGGCCCCGCCTCCTCCCCTGCTGCCGACCACGGGCTCCACCGCTGCTGCTGGCTCTCATTGACTCTGTGGAGAGGAACGCGCCGCTGCACAGATTACTGTCAGTGATCTGAACAGCGGCGTGTTCGTCTCCAGCCACCAGTGACAGCCGCCAGCAGAGGATCCCATAGCAACCCAGGCAGCCCGCATGGCATCTGGCCGGGCCCCACTGTGCCCCGGGCCCCATAGCAGCCGATTGGGTCGCTATGGTGATTGTTACGCCACTGGTTGCTGTCAGAAACCACGTACCTTAGAGGAGTTTGAGTTGACGAGGAAGGCCTCTCTTGCAGCTCAAGTCCGAGAACCCCTGGAGGTGGAACAGGTGCACTAGGACAGGGAAGGCACGAGTGCCTGTAGCAGCGAAGTCCAAGACAAGCAAGATCCGTAACAGTCGAGCAGCGAGGTACCAGGACAGTAGACAAGGCGTAGTCAGGGACTGACAGGATCAGCAACTTGTGGACAGCGAGGGACAGAGCAGCAGACAGGAGCATAGTCAGAAAACAAGCCGAGGTCGAGGGGATCCAGAAGAGCAGCAGAATGGATACGGGTCAAACACCAGGAGATCAGAGTCAAGATGCTGGGTTCAGGTTACAGGAACAGGAAACAGCTGAAGACTAGTCAGCACTGGAGGTTGTAATGTCACAGCCTTAAATGGTCCGTTTAGCGTGAAAATCCGCAACACGGGCATGCGCACGTCAGCGCACACGCCGTGAGATGCACGCCAACTATGAACACGCACATGCGCAGGTGCTCGTGCAGAATTCTGATCGTAAGGGCCAAGCCTGGCTTCCTGACAGTAGCGTTGTCAGCCCTGCCTGCTGGACTACAGATCTCTATCCGGGCCTCTCTGTGTTTCACTCCATGCATACATTGATTTCTTCTTCAGGTAAAGAAATGCTGCTGCCATGAATCATAGAAACTGAGCTAATAGTAATTGGGCTTCCTGCCCGGAAGGTCCACTTTAAATTTGGGTAATGCCTGGATATACCACTTAAGAGCTGACCAAAAAATTCGATTTCTAAATCTTTGGAATCCACTACAGTAGTTTTTGCCTTTGCCCCTCCCACACGGCTATAATAAAAGGTGTCACAGTTGAGTTTCTCAGCTATATGTTTATTTCCCCATTACTGAGAACTGTCATCTCATGACAAGAGAGCATGGAGCCGGCCTCCCGGCCAATCAGAAAGCAGGGCGTCGCGTCATTACACGGCGCCCGGCTTCCTGATTGGCCGGCTAGACGGCTCTGGCTGGGTACCGGACGAAGGCCGCGTTCTCGTTAGAGAGGCCTCGGGGGATGACAGGCTGCACATACTAAGGTAAGAGGGGACTTTCTTGTTAATCGGGAAGCCGGGTGGCGACTCTTTACACGCTGCCCGGCTTCTCGGCTAATCAGGAAGCCAGGTGGCGAGTCATTACACGCCACCTGACTTCCTGAATGGGACTTCCGTTACTCGGTAATTGGTATCGGCGAGTACCGGAAAAAAATTATCAGTACTCGTACTCTGTACCAAAATACCGGTATCGGTGCATCCCTACTGAGAACCCATGAGTGGAGTAGAACACCATCATTTGTAATGGCCCCAGAACCAAGATTTTTTTTGCTGGGGGTGCTACAGAACTACACGTCCATCTCCCCACCATTTTTGTTACAATACGCGGTACAACGACGGCTAAACGAGAGATAAACCCTTTATTTTGTGAATAGATGATGGAAGAAATTACATAAATGCTTTCCGTTTTACAAAGGGAACACTGCAGACATCCCAACTCTCCCGGACATTCCGGGAGTCTCCCGCTATTAGATAGCGGCTCCCGGACGCCCGGGAGAGAAACACTTTGTCCCGGAAAGGTTTACTCTGCTTAATCTAGGAGCCATAAGGGTTCATTCACACTAGAAACGGCCGTATCGCTCAGCTCCCGGGAAGGACAGGTGATGCGTGTGGTTAGTACGCAGCCCCCGTCCTTCTCTATGGGACTATGCAGCCATACACCGCCCTACGCTCACCTCAAGTGTAGGTCTAACACACTACTAGCACTGTACAAGTACTGTACAGGTAACACAAACAGTTTCTCCCTCATAAAGCTGTCAGCTGCCACTGACTAACTCCAACACACACTAACAAAAAGATGCTGGGAGAGCTGACTTTTATAGGGAGGGGGCCGGCACATTTTTAATTTGACCATAATTCTTCACCTGACCAGAGTTGGGAGGTCAGGCAAAGTATTATAGAGTTCGCTGTCGGTGCCTGGGTGAACTTGCCCATAGGTTCACCCTTTGAGCGACCATGTAAAGTTCAACTCGAACCCAGCTCGGTGGCGAACGTGAACCTCATGCCTATTGGGAAGTATGGGAAAGGTGCCACTTTTCATGTTTGCTGCATTGTGTCTCAAAGTTTGCAGCCTATTCCAGAGTTCCGGCACTGTAAAGGTGCTACACATTGTTTCCTGCTGCTGGCCAATTTCTAATGTTTGCTGCCAAACATTACATTGGCTTCTTTGTACCTTATTACCAATAAAGAGAATTCGCTTTGCCCCTCTTAATATCCCGTACATGGGACATCATACTATTGCTCCAACAGAGGAGACAGTACGACTGTTATATAGACAGCTCTATAGGTATTGTGTAGGGGATTCTGCACTGAAGATAGTTCTTGAGAAGTGAGAAGCAAAGGCATAGCAATACTCCAAGTAATACACCTTGCCCATTTCATGCCCTAATAAAATGCACTAAAACGTGACTTAGTTGGAAGGGCAAGGCCACAGTTTTATTTCCATTTCCCAAAAATGGCAAACAAACTCATAACTTGCAGTCGTCAACAAAAAAAACCTATGCCATCCACATAACAGAAAATGGTTTCAAGACATGTCCTAACCATACATTCAGGGCACACATTCAGCTAACCATGGCCCACTGAGCTCATCAATTAGAGACTACTTCACTGCTGTCAAGGTTCAGGTGAAAGGGTGAAAAAATCTTCAGGAGGCTGTAAATCATCCATTGGCTTGATGAGGCTTCAGTTGAATGACCTGTTCTTGCACCCACAATTAGTTCCCCACTTATAAATCAACTCCCCCCCC